AATTAAAACTTTTTTAATCCTTCACATGTTCTTTAAATAACTATTTTTTAATTATATTTTATTTATTTATTTATTTTAATTTTAAAAATTAAGAGACGTGAAATATCTCTTTTCCTCAAATAATTAATAAAATAAATATTTATCTTGTTATATATAAAGAGAATATTAACTGTGTAACTTCTTTTTGATCTCAACTTTTTTGGGATCGTTATATCCTAAAACAATATAACTAGCAACCATATCTAAAAAAAATGTACCTAAATTTTGTCCTAAAATAAATCCATGTTATATGCATTTTCATGCAACGTGAGTAGTTATAGTAGATTCATTTAAACTCTAACCCTAACAAAGTGAAGAGAATAATAGTATAGAATTATAGAAGTGTGTGTGGAGTGTTTATTGTGCAAGATTGAGTAAAACAAATGACATGAAAATAGGAAAGAACATGAAATATGAATGAAGAAGATGAATTGTATATTGATTTCTAAGTATATGAGAATTACACCAGACGATCACCAAAGCACTCACAACTGCATCTGCTAGTTTCAACTAGTCTACTCATACAAGGTGTCTCATATATATAGAGACCTAATTGATGAACTAACTAACTATCTGAACAAAAACGGAAACTAATTTGTGGAAGAACATATGTATAAGATTTTGATGATGCCAAAGCAATTGTAGAAAACAAAAGGTCAAGATAAAGCAAGTTGATCAAGGAGCAAAATTTCAAGTAATATCTAGATAAGTCTTATCTACTTAGCTTAATATGTAAAATGAACTTTTAAAAGTGTTCTTACCGGAGATCGGTCGAGAGGGGCGATCTACTGGGCAAGATTGGTGAGCCTTCCTTGCTGGGTATGTCGGCTGCTTTGAAGTGGGGGTGGTACCTGCAAAAGAGACTCCGATGCTAAAGTTAATCTTTGATAGTGTAATCATTTCATATATATAGTGCATGTACCTTGATGTCAATTAGGATTTTCCTCTTAGGCGAGGGTAACGTTGATTTAGGCCTGAGATTAACCACGACCCGATAGATAGTGGGCCTTTGCTTTGGCCGATGTCATGTGGCGTCTATCCGATGTCGTTTAGTGCTTTAGTGTCAAGCTCAAGCTTGGATTCTCTACGCGACACTAGCCCCCCGAGCTCTGAAGACCTTGGGTCGAGGAGCTGATATCGAGTTTGGTGGGGGGTCGCGACTCTTCGTCTCTGCCTCTTGGGCGAAATGCCATGTGTCATAAAGTGTTGCCTCGTTTCCTGAAATGCATGGGCAACTTGTAATGAAGGGTGGCGACTTGTAATGATGGGATGCACCCTGTCATTGTGAGCCTCATTTAATGCTCTACCTCTTTTGTCGTTTTCCACGTTTTAAATAACTTGGGCTTTTTCTCCTTCGCACATTTGGTTTCCCATTCGCGCGTAGCTTTTCCTCTGCACACTTTCCTCTCTGTTATTCTTCTCTGTTGTCGTTGTGTTGTCATTGTTCAAGGAGTATCAAGTACTTCTTCTTCTCCGTTTCCCTCTTCATTTTCTGTTAATAATGTTGTAAGCGATGGCTGGTGAGGGGGAGCAGGGCCTACTGCCGCCTAGGGCCGCTTCTAGGCAAGCCAAGGGGAAAGGTAAGGCGAAAGTGGCTGCCACTAACGGTGAGCCTAAGAAAAAGAGGGGGGGTAATAACCCCAAGGATTCACACCCCGCCATCTCTGTCCCTGGGTATGAGTGGGTTAGAGGAGATGTGGGTACCTTCGAGAGTAGGTTTAAGTCTTATCATGATGTGAACTCTGCGTGTAGTTCACTCGTGATTAGTAGGTCGCCCGTTTCCGAGCTCATCCGGGTTGAGCCTTGCCAACCTGGAGAGCCTGTGTATATGGCGGGTACTGTGAACACTCCGTTCTTCTACATGTATCGCTGTTTATTTACGGACCTCGGTGTTTGCCTACCCTTCACCGAGTTTGAGTGTGGGTTTCTTAGATTTATAAACGCGGCCCCTTATCAATTGCATCCCAACAGTTGGGGGTTCTTGCAGGCCTTTCAGGTTCTGTGCTCGGATTTAGGGATGAATGCCTCTTTGCCTGTCTTCCTTCATTTCTACCAGCTTAAGTTGGGTGATCCTCCTCTAGGTTGGGTCTCTTTGAGTGGGAGTAAGGCCGGAGGGTTTTTTCAACTTTACTCTCAATCGTACAAAAACTTTAAAGAGGAGTTCTTCCGGATCCGGCCTATAAACAATGATCCGATGATCGAGGAGGTCTTCCATTTTGGGGGAGAGCTGAGGTTCCCCTTCTTCTGGAAACAAAGCCTAGTGAAGTTTAACGGGTTGAGTTGTATACGTTTGTTAGACTCGAATAGGGATGACATTGCCAACCTGGAGGAGTTGTCGCGCCTTTTGGATAGCAAACTCGTGTTGTCCATGGCGGGTTTGAAGAATAAAGAAAGGGGGTTGGAGCGTGAGTATTTGGATATTGTGTTTGTTGTTTTTCTTCTAAGTTGTGTTGTTGTCCTAATCATTGTGTTTGCAATGTTTGTTTGCAGAGTTGATGGGAAAGATTAAGTGGCGCGATCTCAAGGGTTAGCTCAACACCGAGGAGCTCGAGGTGCCCGAGCCTGGTGAGGAGGTTTCTCCTCTAGAGACTCGTCGCAAGAGGAAAAGGGGCCCCGATGAGGTCGGGGAGGCCTCGAATCTTCCAATTTTGGAGGAGGTGACATCGAAGATCACTGATCCTCCTAGTATGATTGATCTGACTGTTAGTCCTCGGGCTGAGTCACCATCGAGGGAGCCCTTGGTAGAGGCTATTCCGCTAAGACAGGTATTGTACTTATATTGGTTTCTTTGCTTTCCATATGTATCTTGTGTAACTTAGAAAAAATATTGAGATGTATGATATTGTCGCAGGTGACTTCGACATCAGCCTTGGTCGGGGTTAGTGAAGGAGGTCCGAGCTCTCCCGCCATTCCAACAACGGCCTCTCTGATCTCCACCTCGACGAGCCCTGGCGGTTCCTCGGCTTCGAAGTCGAGGTGCATTGTCCAGCGCTTCAACGTCAGCCGGCCCTTGGCGAGGTTGGACCACGTCAGCATCACTCCCGATGGGACATCATTGTGGAGCGCTAACCTTACCGCCGAGGGATTCTATAAGGAGGATCTGGCGTTTGTGGCCGACAAGGCCATGATAGAGAAGGTGGGGCTAGTGGAGGGCCTGGACTCGACGGAGGTCTTCATGCAGAGGTCAATCGCCATCGTTGATCATTGGAGGCGGCGTTGGCAGAAACATGAGGCCGAGCTAGAGAGAGCGCGGAGAGACGCAGCGGAGCTTCCAGCTTTGAAATGGGATTTCTCCAAGTCGTAGAAGTCGTTGGAGGTTGCTATGAAGGCCAATGAGGCCTATGCCACCTAGGTTGGCAAGTTGGTGAGTGCCGTGAAGTCAGCCAAGGGCGAGGCTGAGGTCGCCCTGGGTCGAGTACGACTGCTAGAGGAGGAGAATGCCGTCTTGAAAGCCAAATATCGGGCGGTAGAAGAGAAGCATCTCTATGATGAGGTTCTTCTGGTTGGCAAGGGCGAGGAGGTTAGTGCCTTGAAGTTAGACTTTGAGGCGCTGTCTTCCTCAAAGAAAGAAGTGGAGAAGACTCTTCATGAGACCGAGCGCGCCGTGATAATTGAGCATAAGAGGGGATTTGCCAAGGCGGCTCCCCAGGCTCGATTAATTGCTCCTGAGGTGGACTTCTCATTGATGCACATTGATGAGGATGTGCGAGATGGGCAGTTGGTGAATGAGGATGGCCTGTCTGAGAGTGCTAGTGAGGATACTGCTGCCTAAGCCTTTATTTCTCCTGCCTTCCTTTTGTTGTAATAGACTTAGCTTAATTTATTTGCTTTTGGTGTTAAATTGAACGCATTACTTTTGAATGAATTTGCTATATATATATTGCTTTTCGCACTGTTGCTTGAAAGCGAATTTTTGATTCAAAATTTTGAGGTTCAAACTTGACTTTTAATTTTCGCGTTAGGGCTCGGGCTTGGCCTTAAGGTTCAAACTTGACCATTAATATAATTTGAGCAAAGGTTTGAATTCGACCTTGATTTAATATGATTCGTGCCAAGGTTCTGATAGATCATGGGCCAAGGGTCCCGTCACTGGAGCTATGGCTAGAATAATCCAAGAAGAGTTGGACCTCTTGAAGACTAGTGACTTCTGTCTAAATGATATGATTTAAACGGAGTTAACTGTTAGCCACGTGGATGCTAGGTGGATGCCACGTAGATGCATAGGTGGACGCCAAATTTCATGAATACACCTGGAACCAGAACGGTCCGTTCTGAAACCAGAACGGCCCGTTCTTCATGCACATGTTATGTGTTAATTTTGCAATTGGAACGGGCCGTTCTGAAACTAGAAAGGCCCGTTCTGGTGTTGCGCTCCGTTCTAAACCCAGAACGGCCCGTTCTTCATGCACATGTTATGTGTTAATTTTGCAATTGGAACGGGCCGTTCTGAAACTAGAAAGGCCCGTTCTGGTGTTAGAACGGGCCGTTCTGAATTCAGAACGACCCGTTCCATATGCCAAATTTACATACCAATAGTGTAACCAGAACGGGTCGTTCTGGTTCCAGGTGTATTCGAGAAATTTGGCATCCATCTACGTGGTATCTATGTGACATCCACCTGGCATCCACGTGGCCAACAGTTAACTCCGTTTAAATCATTTAGACGGAAGTACCAAATTGCAATAATTTAAATTATTGGGGACCAAATTGAAACAAAAAATTAAAGTAGGACTAAATTGAAACAAAAAATTAAAGTAGGACTAAATTGAAACAAAAAAATATTATAAGAGACCAAATAAGAATTTTAACCTAATAGTAATAATAATAATAATAATAATAATAATAATAATAATAATAATAAAAACACTAATTCTCGTGCAAGGCACGATATATCTAGTTATTGTTAACAACACAAATAATAACCATATATAACTAACTACCAATAAAAACAGTTTTCCTTTTACCATGTGAAGTCAAAGTCTTGCCATTTTCTACCTATTCTTTATATCTTCTCTTTGGAAGAAGTGTGTGAAGTGAAGCTCAAATGAGTTAAGATTCAAGACACAGAAACAAGGAAGAAGAGTAACAACAACCATGTCAGAATCAAACGCAATTGCAAATGGTTTGGCTGGTGCAGGTGGTGGAATTATTGCTCAAATCATAACTTATCCTCTTCAAACGGTACTCTCTTTATCTCTTTTATTCTTCCTTTGGCCGTGTAACCAATTCCATTGCAATTTCAGGTAAACACGCGCCAGCAAACTGAGAGAACACTCAAAAGGAACAAGCAAAGTTTGCTTCCACAGTCCTCCAACTCGACCAAAGCTCCTGGCACTCTTCTTCAGATCTTTCAGGTTCTAACTTTGCTCAATTTTTTCTCTTTTGGTTGGTTCTGTTTAGATGGTGTCTTGATTGAATTTGTGACCCTTTGTCAGGTCATTGGAAGTGAGGGTTGGGGTGGACTCTATAGTGGCCTCAAGCCTTCTCTTCTTGGAACTGCTGCTTCTCAGGTTATCAAGTTTCAGTTTTTAACCATACCCCATAATAGCCTTTGCCCATTATTCAGTATTCACCAGTCATAAAGATGCAAAGTTCAAGGCTTAAGGCCCTATTTGAATAATTTTTTTTATAAATACAAGTTAAAATGGATTAAGTTTATCTTACAAGTTAAAATTAATTTATCCACTAGTTAAAATCAACTTTTGTATAAGCTAAATGAGAGAATTTCTATAAATTAGTTTATGTATAAGTTGTATTATAACTTAATGAGAAAATTTTTATTCATTTCATCTTTTTATTTTCCCCTGGTATATAAGTGTATGAAAAGTTTATCAAAACATGTCTAAAATGTGATACGTGATGTGCTTTTCTGTGGGGTTGTTATCTAAATGCTTATTTTAAATGTTATCAGGGCATTTACTATTATTTCTATCAAGTTTTCAAGAACAAGGCTGTGGCCATTGCAGCTGCGCGGAAAGTGAAAGGGCATGGAAATGGTATTGTTGGGATGTTTGGTTGGCTTCTTGTGGCTGGACTAAATTGAAACAAAAAATTAAAGTAGGACTAAATTGAAACAAAAAAATATTATAAGAGACCAAATAAGAATTTTAACCTAATAGTAATAATAATAATAATAATAATAATAATAATAATAATAATAATAAAAACACTAATTCTCGTGCAAGGCACGATATATCTAGTTATTGTTAACAACACAAATAATAACCATATATAACTAACTACCAATAAAAACAGTTTTCCTTTTACCATGTGAAGTCAAAGTCTTGCCATTTTCTACCTATTCTTTATATCTTCTCTTTGGAAGAAGTGTGTGAAGTGAAGCTCAAATGAGTTAAGATTCAAGACACAGAAACAAGGAAGAAGAGTAACAACAACCATGTCAGAATCAAACGCAATTGCAAATGGTTTGGCTAAGCAAGAAGGAGCCAAATTATTTGTAAAAAAATTTTGTGAAAATTTAGAGACTAATTTTAGTGACGAAATT